TTCAATATGGCTTTAGTCCAGAGTCCTTCTGATTTTCTGGCTTTTCCTCCAGCTTTCGACCAAGGAACAAAAAGACAATAAGAAATTTTGGGATGAGATTTAAAACCAAGCTGTTCAAAGGCTCTGGATGCCCCTTTAAAACCCAGATTCCCAAGAAAACCAAGATCCTATTACTTTCTGTTAAGAGAATCCCTGATATCTACCCAGGCTTCTGGCTGCATTGATCCTCTTGGCAAGAGGGTACAGCCTGGTATCTAAAACTGTCAGTCTAGGAACAACAGCCTGAGTTTCAGGATCAAGCACACCTGATGATTGAGTCTGTCAGTAGTTCACACCACTACAGTGGTGAAAGATATTCGCTTTCTCCACCTTTTAATTATTAAAAGATCTTGACCATCCAAAAGTCTCACAGCAATCAAAGCAGAAGATACCAGAGCCATCAAGGTGAATCAGTCAGAGAAAAGTCAAGTGTCCAAAGACTTACTCTGGGCAAGTCAGGGAAGAACAAGCCGTAAAGCTTCTGAGGGGGCCTATCAGTTGGTGCTCCAAGGCAAAATCCAGCAAAAGAATCCAGCAGTGTCTGATTTTTTAGGAGGAAGAGGTGATTATTTTCAGGTTGCTAGTCAAGCCGTTCTAACAAGCAAAACCTCAGAAAGTGCTGCATCCAGCAGGGGCAGCAACACTAATAGTCATAGGCAGGGAAAGACTCATAAAGGACCAGGAACAACTCCAGAAAGCTGGAGAAAGGTAAGCGTCAGGAACAAGTCAAGGTAGAAGGCAAGCCAACCATTCCCAAAATGAAGAGAAAAGAAAAACCAACTTGGAGCTTAGCCACAGAATTTTAAAAAGCCTCAAACTGCCAAGCATGCCCACAAAACATGCCGGAGTCTCTGCCCAGGTTTTCCATTGTGCTGGGAAAGAAAAGTGATAAGCAAACTGACCTCTTTCTCCTGGAAGCTGGAAATTCAAGTAACTTCAAATACCCCAGCCATCTTACAACCCCCGGCAAGAAACCATGGCTAGATAACCAACGTGAAGGTAAAGGTTTTGGAGAACTCCAGTCAAAGCCAGAAACAGGTGCAAGTGCTGCGAAAAGGGTGTCCATCTCCATCACAGTATCAAGCTGCCACCACGTGGGAAGCGTCAAGTTGGTACCTTTGCCCTTTTCCAAAACCGCTGGACAAAAACCTCCAGCTGCAACCTGTTCCTAAGTTGGCCAATTCTCTGGCCTCACATAGGCCTACTGCGGCTAACCTGCCAGCCTGCTTCTACTAACTATCTCGACCTATTTGCAGTCACCTTTCCAAACTAGCTTCCTGCCAATGGCATCTTCAACAGGTCTGTTTCCCGTGGCAGACCAGTTGGGGCCAATTATCACCAATGCAAACGAAGACACAGTTTGACCAACCCCACCCAGTTCTAGTGAAACTTCAGGTCTGCTTCTTCTAAGCCTGTAGGCCTAAACAAAACATCACCTTGCACTTTTCCCCAGCAAGATCCTGTTTCCCTGCTGCTGACCAGGCCCAAGCTCACACCCAAGCCTCAAACCAAATTTCTAACCTCAAGACTTTCAGCTTGCCAACCAATCCATTGGAGGAAAACCCAATATTTCTGGGCCAGTAATATCAAAGCCTTACCAACAAAAGAGCAGGGCCAGATTGTGAAGGCATGAAGGAAGGCATCAACAAAGAGGTGAGAATGCTGCCAATACAGCTGCTGCGGAAAGTGCGGTTTTTTTGTTGTGGAGGGAAAAGAGATGGAAATTTCACGCTACTATGGCTATGCGAATAAGCAGATGCTCAGCTTGTTGGTACACTTTGTACAACCTTTGGAGCTGGTTTTCCACACACATATATGTACAAAATTTCTCTATTCTGATATTTTTAAAAACTATAAAATTTAAACAAATAGATATAAATTAGATTGATTTAATAAATGAGTATAAGCGAGCCCTTTTGATTTTGTGTGCTGTTAAGTTGGTTTTTTTTTGAGGAGGTGGGGGTCAAACGGCGTGCCTTAGAAGAAGCACTGAAAGTTGGGTGGGAGAATTAGCGGAGCAAAAGCGCGGATTAAGAATTGAGAAAGAGGAAGAACCTTTCCAGGACTTAGGTAAGCCAAAGGGGAGTATTTATGGGATTTATAAAAAGTATCAGACCAATGGGGATAATGGCAGAACTTAAGATCACAGAGTCTAAGGGTTTTGGGCTAAGAAACAACAAAATGAGATTAAGTTGACAATGGAGAAGATGGAGCCTGGGTTGACCACAGCAAATGCAAAGAAATCTTTCATGGAGAATGACCTTATATCTCAATGACTGCCAAGATAAGCCTTTTAGAATAAGATACAGCGACAAATCACTGCAAAAGATTTGGTACCTTATGTGTTGTATAGATCTACAGCCGAGAAAGGTGAGTACAAAGCACACGAGACTTTACCAATTCGGGTGACAGCAGGTATCCTGGCGAGCAACTGAAACCAGCGGCCGCTGGCCAATGTGAAACTCCTTTAGCATGGGAGGCCCAGCCAGAACAGGGATGTGGCAATAAACCACCATTTATTGACTGACTTATACGCCGCGCAGGGGGCCAGCCACATGACTACTTGCGTTACCTTTCACAAGGACCGCGAGCCGGAAACCCACTGTGCACTTCACTAGGGCTGGTTAAGCAATGTCTGGGCCTCAACACACGCGGGAGCAAGGCCTCATGCCAAGGCTACGGGCTCCGAAGTCCTCAGTGATTGTCCAGCGGCCATAGGCGGCACCTTGGCTTTTCAGAGCACCGTCGGCTCGGGATCGAACTCTGCAGGCGGCCTAAATATGAAGTTGAGGGGCCCGCATGGTCCTCCTCCACGACCCCCAGCGCGTGCTGCCTCATTGCCTCCGCCATCAACCGAAGGGCTGCGAGAAAGCACCAGCCTGGTTGTGTCCATTTCCCCGGGGGCAGCGCTTGCTGCGCGTGCGCACTGGGCTCACGCAACCCTCAGGGCGCAGGCGCCCAAGGTCCGGAGGCGCTTCCTGGGGGGGCTGGAAACTCAGCAACAGGGGAAGAGGGAGCGGTGGGACCGTTAGGGGCAGGTACACGGGGAGGGCAGAAAGGGATGGAATGGGAAGGAGAGGTGGGACAGGGATTGCAACTATGAAAAGTCAGTAATTGAATTTTAAGATATTTGTGAGATAAGATTTCTTTTTTGGAGACAGAATTCACATAACAAATTCACGGTTTAAGAAGAACATTCAGTAGTGGGTCGTGCCTGTTTATAGCCAGTGCATTCCAGCTGAGGCTATGTTAACAAGATGCTGTCTCTTATTTTAAAAAATAATAATGACGCAGGTGCAGTTCAGGCCTATAATTGAGCCCAGGAGTTTGAGGTTGCTGTGAGCTAGGCGGATGCCAGAGCACTCTAGCCCAGGCAACAGGGCGAGACTCTGTCTCAAAAGAAAAAAAAAAAAAAAGAAAAAGAAAAAGAAATCTATATTCTACATTCTACAAACAAACTAATGAATAACATAAATGAGGTAATGTGACATAAATCAAATGAGAAAATATATTTAAAATTATTCTTTTTAATGTATATAATCTATGGTGGTTTCTGGACTAGCTACATTAAAAATATTGACTTATTTCTTCTGTTATTACAAAATGAGGTCAAAGTGTGTCATCTTGTTTGTCACAGAAAATAAAAAATCCACATGAACCTCTTTTGTTCTATACCCTCACCTTACCTGTTCCCTATTCTCCCCGAATGTCTTCTTTCTCTTAACTATTGTCCTCTTCATTTTGCCTGACCTTGCACCCAAGCATGGCAGACAGAGAATCATAGAGGTCTAACATTCTACAGTGGCTGTTTGCTAGTGGGAGGAGGCCACAGTAACTGCCAAAATGGAGTCTCTAATGTGAGAAAAGGGAAAAGTAGTATGAATGCCTCTCACATATGAAAGAGGATGGCAGGATGTCTACATGGCCCAAGGAGCCAAAGGTAGTAAATTATGGACAAAAGAACTGTACCCAGAGGCTGAAACATGAAAAGTTTATACTCAGCTGTGTCTTCTACCTCTCTGGTGTTTGCTTCTAATGGGCAGAGTCAATTTTTTTAATATGATGGCACTGAAAAGAAGACCCCTGCTATGGAATTTGACAGGAAGTAACATCTACAAATGTAAGAAAGCCCGATCAATGCTTGACCCGGAAACAATGCCTAGAATCAAGGGAGGGAGGGAAAGGGAAAGGGAAAGCAGAAGAGAGATGCAAGTTCAACCTGGCCCAGCCCAGCCCAGCCCAGCCCACCCCAGGAAGGTGGGATTCAAGAAGAACCTAAAGAGAAGAGCCTTGGACCACATCATTTTCTACAACGAGCACTCAACGAACTTAACTCTACTTTTCAACCAAGTTACAGACAGAGCTCTTTAATCCCTTCCTTTGGTCCTTAAAAGCTGCAGTAAGTTCACTGCTCAGATCCAGTGAAATCATTTCAGAACAACAGTTGTTCAACCTGGTTGTCTCTTTCTCTCCTACCCAAGAATATCAATTAACTGTATATATAATATCTAATTATAAATGTATAATATTATACATTATAATAGGAAACACAGTATACTAAATATAAATAACTGTTAGTTAATTATATGAATGAACATCTATGAAGAACATCAAGATGACCTCCCTAACATAAGAGCCTGGGAGGGTGGAACTATCCTGTCTGTCTTTCACCTCCCCAGAGCTCAGCCAGCCAGGTGCTGTTGCAGCTCTCCTAACACTCCCTCCACCCAGTGCCTTCTTGCTGGGAAACTGACCTCCACATTGGTTAACTCATACCTTTAAACTGCCTGCTTTGTGACATCATTTTCCCACCAAACCTACGAGCACCTGGTAGAATCTTGGGGTTTCCATGGAGTTGTCTGTAAATAAATTTGGATCATCGCAACTGACCAGTGACCAGTGACCAGTAACCAGTGACCAGTAATCAGTGACCAGTGACCTTTCTGCTGGCCACATGCGCTCTTCTGCCACTCCTCAGACACCCTCTACTATTGTCTCCTCATCCCTTCTATCCTCCATTGACATTTCCTCTTCTCTGACCATGTCAGGTAAGGAAAGGAACTTTTTAAGGTTTTTTGTTTCTTTCCCCCTAAATTTAGTAGCAGACTCAAAACAGCTTAGAATAATGGGGGAAAGTATTGAACTCCAATCTGCAGACCTAATTTCACTTGTGGCTTTGACATTTACTAGCTAGCTGTGTGACTTTGGATAAATCATTTACTCTCTCACAAAATCTGTTTTCTCATGTGTTATATTAGGATAATAATAGATTGGTTGTCCCTGTGGCCCCCTTCTACTATCGCGTCTTAGAGGGCTTGCATACAGAAAATGAAATCAGAGACTTTCTGAGAGGTATTTGTTTCATCAGAAACAGAGAAAAAAAACCTCAGTGGTGTAGAAAACTAGCAATATATACCGAGATGTTTTATCTCTAATAGTCTCCTATCATTACTATATCAATTTCAGTACTTTAAATTTAGTGCTGTTCAGAAAGTAGTATTTACAAGTTTGGTGTTTTCTATCTAAACGAGGTGAAAAGAGAAAATAAGGAAAGAATGGAGGATATTGGGCTGTAAGGAGGCAGATATTCTACAGAAAGAAAGTTTGTGACTGTTTTCATTAAGCACAGGGCAACAGGAACTGACATGGGGAGAAAATGTAAAAATGAGGGAGGAGAAAATGTAAGAATCAAAGCTATGGAGATTGTGGAGGAGTTCTCAAGAGGTAATTTCAGATGAAATGTGTAAGAGAATCATAGATTTTTAAGCAGAAAAAGCATAGAGTGAAATCTACTCAGAGCAGGGCAAAATAAAGTTGGTTTTAGCAAATGCTTAGATTAATGGACTTGGAAGGAAGCTAAGGCTAGAATAGAATGTCACTAGAAAAAGCAGCTTATCAGAAAAGTCACATTCCGTTGTTTGGTTTTTTTCTATTGCCTCTTTAAACACCAATGACACTTGATACTTTTGAATGTAAATATTTTGAAAATACGTTTTAGATTTGCGGTCCCCAATCCTGGGGCCACCGACCACCCTACCAGTCCTTTCACGGACGGGCCGCGGAGGTCAGAGCCCAAGACCTCCCGGCCACCGACCCCACTGCACCCCGGACCCTGAGAAAAACTGTCTTCCTTGAAACTTGGGGTGGGGAAGCACAGCAGCAGGTGAGCGGGGGAGCGCGACCGAGCTTCACCTGTATTTACAGCGCTCCCTCCTGGTGGCTGGCACTGCCCCGAGCTCCGCCTCCCTGCCGCTCTCCAGGGAAAAACTGTCTTCCATGGTGAAAGCCGTACCTGGTGCCAAAAATGTTGGATACCGCTGTTTCTTGCTTCCTGTAAATAAGAAACTAATAAAAGTGGGTACCTAGGGGGACAGAAGAAGTGTTTCATTCTGATTTTAAACTATATGGATGTTTCTCCTATAAAAAACAAAATTAAGTTTTTTTAAAAATAAATGATGTATCTTACCTTGCATTTGAAGGACAGATTCCTTTGTATGGTAAGTATGTTACAAGTAAAGGTTGCTTTTCATCGTTATTTATTCATCCTAAAACAGAGTATATACAATTTAACAGTCATTAACTGTTTTTCAATCTAAGAATAAAAAGAAAGACCTACCTAAGAATAAAATGAAAACATCCTACATCTCTAATTAGACATTTACCTAAAACAATTGTCTGGAGTCCTTTGGGTTTTCCTATATTAAAAAAATTTTTTTGGTTGGTCCGAGTGCAGTGGTGTTTACAACTAATTGATCACAACCAGTTACAGATTCCTTTGTTCCTTCTCCACTCCCACTGCTCCACTTGACCAGCCTTTAAAAAAAAATAAAATAAAATAAAATAAAAAAATTTTTAACTAGATTCTAGTAGTGGTTTTCTTAGGCTTTGGGAATGACATTTTCCTGGATATTGAAGATGATTATACTCTACTTTTTGAGAATAAATATAAAAACCTTCCTAATACTTTCTAAATGTTCTTTTCTAATTGTTATGTGGCTATATTAATTTAAAGATCTATTTCTACCAGGATTACTATCTGTCATTTGCTGGATAATATTCACAGAAATATGATAAGCACAATAATGGAACTCCTTTACACTGCACAGTTTTACACTCTGCCTTCTACCTTTTTTACATTTAAAAATTTTGGGGGGGTATTTTTGGTTTCATACGGGTTTTTATTGAAATATTTGCATATATGTTACCGCTATATGTATACATATGCATTCATATTTACTCCATTTTGCTGCTAGTGACACACTTTTTACCAATATACTTTCTCTATATATCTGTAGTGGTTAGAAATTCATATAAAATTGCCTTCTATTGTGGATTGGAGTTTTTTGGTTAACAGTATTTGCTAAAAGAGAGTAGATAATATTCATTTTTATAATAACATGTATGATAACCAGGACTTCGCTTAATAGTATGGGTACTATGCTTTGATGCTTGCTACATACCCCAGTTTTAAATTCTTTTTAAGTTCTATAATACTATAAATTTTTCATGATTTGTGTCTGTCTGTCCAGAACTTATTATACTTTCTCCAAACAAATCATGCACAATATATCACTTTTATTTATGTATGAATTATCATTGTTGTTATGATTATAACCAATTTATAGATGAGTAACCTAAAGCTCAGAGAGTTTAAGTAACTTTTTTCTTTCAAAAAGCATGTCTTGAGAAACTAACTCTCAGGTAGTGCTTTCGATTGAAGATAAGAAGCCAGGATTAAAAAGGGTTAAGAATGACCCTTTACACTTACCAGCTGGTCTGGGCTGTATTTGAACTCTAGGAAATGGCAAGTGATCTGCACATGCAATATGGGACACTAGAGATTACAGTGGTAATAGCTGTAGTGTTATCTAATGGACACAAAATTGCCTGTATTAACAGTTCTAATTCTTGTTTCCAGTATTTGATCAGAACAAGAGTCCTGGAAAGGGAGTCAATTTCTGTAACCTGGTAATCATATTAACATGATGGGAGAACTTGAAGAGGTGAATCTGACCTCTAAGAGCCTCAGTTTCCTCACTTATACAATGAAAATGTGAGAACAGAAGTTCTCTAAGGACCTCCTAGTTCTACATGACTCTAATTCTAGGAAGTAGTTATGAGTCAGTGCTAATGCTGGCTCAGGGTAAAGATGGCAGAAGGTTGCTTCCAGCCTAGGGAACAATGTGTGAACCAGACCACTTGGGTCTTCTGCACATCTCTGCCCAAGTTGGACACAGAGGCAGTTCATCAGAAGAATACCCAACTGCTCCAGAACTTCACAGCACCATAAACCGTTTGGCTTTTGGTATCTCAGTGAGTATTAGTATTAGAGGCTGCCTGATTGCAGCAACATTAAGATGATGCTATTCCTCACATGTAGTGAGAATTTGTCCATCTCATCATTTTTGTCCATCTCATCTCATTTTTTAATCACCCTCTTTTTTCCTACAGTAAATTTCCAAAATTCATCTTTACTTGGAACTGCAAATTCTCTGCAGCTCACTCTTTCTGTGGTAAGCAATGAGGCTTCCCTAACAGGAAGTGTCTGCAACTTCTCCAGAGTTCCTATTCCAGCCGTTAGCTTGTCATGGATACTGCCATCACCTGCTAGCAGCTCATTCCAGTCACTCATGGGTAGTGCCTACCTTTACCAACATTCTAGCACAACTATGTTGTCTGAGGTTACTGGACACAGCCCCATGTCCATTTCAGCTGCCTCCTATCCAAGTGTTTTTGATTGGAATATGACAGGAAGCACTGAAAACTCATCTTCACTTGGGGACCTCACTGTGATTATCATTGACCAGGACAGAATTATTTCTTCCATGTCCAACACAGCCCAGTATGATCAAACTCCAGATGCCAATACTATGCTCCCTCTGTACCCATCACTCTCTGCCAGCCTTCTTCAGGGAACATCATGTGAAATTTCAAATCAAGACAAGTGACAGAGCCTGTCACATTCTTATGAGGAAGGAAGCAAGGTCTATTACTACAATCAAAGCACACTGGGACCACTACTGTCTGGAGAACTTAGCCCCTGCCTGCAATCCTATGGCTCTATGTCAAACACAGGAAGTATGTCCTCTGCCTCTCAACCAGAAATGGTGATGGGGCTAAAGGAGGTTCAAGCTACAAATGTTCTACCAGTTACCTCTACCACTAGGATCTACTACTCTGTGTCTGCTCAACCTGTCACAGAAACAAGTTTTGAACGTAAGTACAAACAGCAAAAAGACACAGCAATAAAAGAGGAGCAAATACGCAGCTGAGAAGTAAGTCCACAGGTAAGTAGAATTTAAGTCCTGGGAGTTCAACCACTACCTTTGCTTAGTATTCCCCACTTTCAGACACTACATAAGAACATCTAATGTAGGTGGGAAGGTAGAACACTATACTGGCCATCTAGCATACCCGTAAGAGAACCCCAGGAGTGTGCTGGGGGCTACCACAGTATTTGCTGCCCTAGTATGCTGATCAGTTCCCCTGCACCATCACACTGGAATTAAATCTCTTCCCTGATATATTGCTTTAGTCCTTCTGGAAGGCACTTGAGAACTCTTATAGTGGAAGTGACATTTTAACATTCCTTGGTTTGCACAAGGATTTAAGACCTTGTGTCCAGAGACCCTGTCCAAAACAAGCAGGCTCAAAATCTGTCCTTGCTTGTCTACTTCATGAGGAGGAGCTCCACTCACTCTCCTAATCCATGGAGTGAAGTGTGTTTGCTCTCTCAGCAGAGTGAAAAAAATGGAAAGAACCTTAGGTAAGAATGCTAGGATTTATAAAACATTTCATATGTTTAAAAATCACTTTACTTTTTATTTGACCTATAACAACTCTATGAAATATAAAGAAAAGCAAGAAACAATGGCATCAAATGATAACCAGTAGGGAGTAGGACAGTCACTGCCTGTGTCCTAATACAGGGTCTTGTCCATGGTACCCAGGAAGAGCTAGTAGAGATGTGTTGCACTCTGTTATAAGGTGCCTGACTGTGTGTTGGTGTGTAGGGAGAGCATCTTACTTACCAGGGACTGACTGCTTCCTTGATTCCTTTGTAGTGATGGAAATTTCCCTGGGGATGGACACTTCCTTGGGATTGCAAACTCCAACCCAGACACTTGGTCTGCTACAAACTCCAGAATTCTCCAAGTCCTGCAGGAGCAGAAATATCCAGATAATTGAGAGTTACTGCCCCACTGCTGACTCTGGGGACATTTCAATAATGGCTCTAGTCCAGAGTCCTTCTGATTTCCTGGCATTGCCTCCAGCTTCGACCCAGGAACAAAAAGACAATAAGAATTTGGATGAGATTAAAACCAAGCTGTCAAAGGCTCTGGATGCCTACCAGATCCCAATAGAAAACCAAGATCCCCTATTACTTTCTTTAGAATTCCCTGATATCTACCAGCTTCTGGCCTGCATTGATCCTCTTGGCCAAGAGGTACAGCCTGGTTCTAAAACTGTCAGTCTAGGAAACAACAGCCTGAATCTTCAGGATCAAGGCACAATTGAAAGTGAGATTGAGTCTGTCAGTAGTTCACACACCACTACAGTGGTGAAAGATATTCGCTTTCTCCACCTTTTAAATTTATTAAAAGATCTTGACCAATCCAAAGGTCTCACAGCAATCAAAGCAGAAGATACCAGAGCCATCAAGGTGAATCAGTCAGAGGAAAAGTCAAGTGTCACAAAGACTTCCTCTGGGCAAGTCAGGAAGAACAAGCGTAAAGCTTCTGAGCCTATCAGTGGTGCTCCCAAGGCCAAAATCCAGCCAAAGAATCCAGAGTGTCTGATAGGAGAAGAAGTGATTATTTTCAGTGCTGTAGTCAAGCGTTCTAACAGCAAACCTCAGAAAGCTGCATCCAGCAGGGGCAGCAACACTAATAGTCATAGGCAGGAAAGACCAAAAAGGACCAGGGAAAACAACTCCAAGAAAGCTGAAGAAAGTAAGCAGTCAGGGAACAAAGTCAAGGTAGAAGACAAGCCAACCATTCCCAAAATGAAGAGAAAGAAAAACCAACTTGAGCTTAGCCCACAGAATTTTAAAAAGCCTCAAACCTGCCAAGGCATGCACATGCCGGAGTCTCTGCAGGTTTTCCATGTGCTGGGAAAGAAAAGTGATAAGCAAACTGGACTCTCTTTCTCCTGGAAGCTGGGAAATTCAAGTAACTTCAAATACCCCCAGCCATCTACAACCCCCAGCCAGAAACCATGGCTAGATACCCAACGTGAAGGTAAAGGCTTTGAGAAAACTCCAGTCAAAGCCCAGAAAACAGGTGGCAGTGCTGGAAAAGAGTGTCCATCTCCATCACAGTATAAGCTGCCACCACGTGGGAAGGTCAAGTTGGTACCTTTGCCCTTTCCAACCCTGGACAAACCTCCAGCTCAACCTGTTCCTCAGTGGCCACATTCTCTGGCCTCACATAGGCCTACTGCGGCTAACCCTGCCCAGCCTGCTTCTACTAACTTATCTCGACCTATTGCAGTCAACCTATTCCAACTAGCTCCTGCCAATGCATCTTCAACAGGTCTTGGCAGACCAGCTTGGCCAATTTCAACCAATGCAACAAGACACAGTTTGACCAACCCTACCCAGTCTAGTGAAACTCAGTCTGCTTCTTCTAAGCCTGTACCTAACAAAACATCACCTTGCACTTCTCCCCAGCAAGATCCTGTTTCCACTGCTCTGACCAAGCCCAAGTCACCACCCAAGCCTCAAAACCAATTTCTACTCCAAGACTTCAGCTGCTAACCAATTCCATGGAGGAAACCCAATATTTCTGGGCCAGTAATATCAAAGCCTACCACAAAAGAGCAGAGGCCAGATTGTGAAGCCATGAAAAGGAAGGCTCAACAAGAGCGTGAGAATGCTGCCAAATACAGCTCTCTGCGGAAAATGCAGTTTTTTTGTTGTGAGGGAAAAAGAGATGGAAATTTCACACTACTATGGCTATGTAAAATAAGAGATGCTCAGCTTGTTGGTACCACTTTGGTACCACTTTGAGCTGGTTTTCCACACACATATATAGATACAAATTTCTCTATTCTGATATGTTTTAAAAACTTAATAAAATTAAACAAATAGATATAATAGATTGATTAATAAATGAGTAATAAGGAGCCCTTTTGAATTTTGATGTGCTGTTAAGTGTGGTTTTTCTTTTGAGGAGGTGGGGATCAAAGGCTGCCTTAGAAAGAAGGCACTGAAAGTTGGGTGGGAGAATAGGGGCAAAAGGGATTAAGAATTGAGGAAAGAGGAAGGAACCTTTCCAGGACTAGGTAAGCCAAAAGGGGAGATATTTATGGATTTATAAAAAGTATCAGCAATGGGGGAAATGGCAGAACTAAGACAGAGTCTAAGGTTTGGGCTAAAACAACAAAATGAGAATTAAGTTGACAATTGGAGAAGATGAGCCTGGGTTGACCACAGAAATGCAAAGAAATCTTTCATGGAGAATGACCTTATATCTCATGACTTGCCAGATAAGCCTTTTAAAAAATAAGATACAGGACAAATCCTCAAAAGATTTGGGTTACCTTATGTGTGTATGATCTATAGCTGAGAAAGGTGAGTACAAAACACAGGAGACTCTACCAAGGGAGTGACAAGCAGGTATCCTGGGAGCAACTGAAAACCAGGGCCCTGGCCAAGTGAACTCCTTAGCATGAGGCCCAGCCAGAACAGGGTGTGGAATATAAACCACCATTTATTGACTGACTATACCCGCGCAGGGGGCCAGCCACATGCACTACTTGCGTTAACCTTCACAAGGACACGCGAGGCCCGAACCACTGTGCCACTTTACTAGGCTGGTTAAGCAATGTCTGGGCTCAACACACGCGGAGCAAGGCCTCAATGCCAGGCCTACGGGGCTCCGAGGTCCTCAGTGATTTCCAGCGCCCATAGGCGGCCAACCTGGCTTTCAGGGCACACCGTCGGCTCGAGATCGAACTGCTGCAGGGGCCTAAATATGAAGTTGAGGGGCCCGCCATGTCCTCCTCCACCGACCCCAGCGCGTGCTGCCTCCTTGGACCTCCGCCATCAACCGAAGCGCTCGAGAAGCACCAGCTGGTTGTGTCCATTTCCCCGGGGTGGCAGCGCTTGCTGCGCGTGCGCACTGGCTCACCGGCCAAACCCTCAGGGCGCAGGCGCCCAAGGGTCCAGAGGCGCTCCTGGGGGGCCTGGAGACTCAGCACCAGGGGGGAAGGGAGGGAGGCGGTGGGACCGTAGGGGCAGGTAAGGGGAGGGCAGAAAGGGAATGGAATGGGGAAGGAGGAGGTGGGACAGGGATTGCAACTATGAAAAAGTCAGTAATTGACATTTTTAAGATATTTGTGGAGATAAGATTTCTTTTTTGAGACAGAATTCACATAACAAAATTCACGGTTTAAGAAGATACAATTCAGTAGTGGGATCGTGCCTGTTTATAGCCAGTGCATTCCAGCCTGGGCTATGTAACAAGATGCTGTCTCTTATTTTAAAAAATAATAATGAGGCCAGGTGCAGTGGCTCAGGCCTATAATCCTAGCACTCTGGGAGGCCAAGTGGGAGGATCGCTCTAGGTCAAGAGTTAGAGACCAGAGAGACCAGCCTGAGCAAAAGTGAGACCCCCATCTCTACTAAAAATAGAAAGAAATTAATTGGCTAAATCAAAGTATATAAAAAAAAATTAGCTGGGCATGGTGGCACATGCCTGTAGTCCCAGCAACTCAGGAGGCTGAGCCAGAAGTATTGCTTGAGCCCAGGAGTTTGAGGTAGCTGTGAGCTAGGCTGATGCCACAGCACTCTAGCCCAAGCAACAGAGTGAGACTCTGTCTCAATAATAATAATGAAATAAAAGTAAAAATATACAATTCAGTGGCATTTAGTACATTGACAGTTTTGTGCAACCATCACAACTATCTGATTCATAACATTTTCTTCATCAACAAGAGAGACCTCTCTATCCATTTGTAGTCACTCCCCACTCCCACCTCCCTCTGGCCCTGGGGCAACCACCAATCTCTACAGATTTGTCCTTTCTGGACATTTCACATAAAGGGATTCATACAATATGGCACATTTGATATCTGGCTTCTTTCACTTAGCATGTTTTCAAGTTTCACCCATGTTGTAGTGTTTGTCTGTGCTTCACTTCTTTTGATTACTGCATAGCATTCTGTTGTATGAATATACCACATTTGTTTATCCATTCATCAGTTGCTGAACATTTGGGTTGTTTCCACTAGTAACATACATTTATTGAGGGTTTATTTTATTTTATTTCATTTGAGACAGGGTCTTGCTCTGTCACCCAGGCTCTAGAGTGCATTGGCGTCATCACAGCTCACTGCAACCTCAAACTCCTGGGCTGAAGGGATCCTCCCAAGTTGCTGGGACTATAGGCCAGAGCCACCATGCCTGGTAATTTTTTTTTCTTTTTGTAGGGACGGTTTCTCACTCTTGCTCAGGCTGGTCTCGAACTCCTGGCCTCAAGAAATCCTTTCCTTTTGCCTTGGTCTCCCAAAGTTCTAGGACTATAGGCATGAGCCACCCTACCTCACTACTGAGAGTTTATTCTGTGCCGAGCAGCACCTGGCTAAGTTATTTGCCCTATTTCACAGATAAGGAGATACAGACTGGCAAGAACTGACCCAAGATAAAGAACTAGCAAATAGGGGAGCTGGGATTTGAACTTAGGCATTTGGATTTTAGAGGTAATAGAGTCACATGATAGAACATTAGAAAGACATAAAAGGGTATTCCATGGAAATTCACCATCTTTCCCAAGTTTCCCAGCCAGGAACTTCTGCCCTCCCTTAGAGACATCTACTTTTGCCAATTTGAGGATTCTTCCACATAAATTATTTATTTATACCCCAACATCCATGAATCACAACTTATTGATCCAAACTCCTGGCCTCAAGCAATCCTCCTTTCTCAGCATCCCAAAGTGTGGATTACAGGCATGAACCACTGCACTTGGCCTTTGTCTTCTCTCTGTATTTGCTTTTTCTAAATGCCCACAAATTGTGTCTTCAATCACTGCTCCTCTCCCTGCAGAAACTTGGCCCATACACAGTTTTCTTTATCTTGGTCAATGATAAGGTCATTTTTTCCAGTTGCTCAAGCCACAAACCTTTGAAGTCATTTCACTTCTTTCCTCCCCTCCCAACTACACACCTAAAATTTCAGCAAAGTGCACCTTCCCTATCCTCATATTGCATCTAGAGCTTGACTACTTCTAACCACATTCTTCCATTTGTACTCTAGTCCAAGCTTTAATCATTTCCTGCCTAGATTATTGCAATATCCTTCACACCCAGAAGTTCCAAATCTTTCTAGATTCACCAATCCCTTGTTGTCTGACTCCTAAGCCAAGATGCTTAAAATACTTAAACTACAAAATACTTAACAGTCTTTATTAAGTAGTTAGGTGCCAACCATTGAATAAGTATTTATAATGTAGTAGGCTGGGTAATGGCCACACGAAGAGAACAAGTCCTGATCCCTGGAACCTGCAAATGTTACGTTATTTGGAAAAAGGATCTTTGGATGTGATTAAAGTAAAGATCTTGTCATGGGGAGATTATCTTAGATTATTGGGCAAATCCTGAATACAATCATATATGTCCATATAAAATACAGGCAGATGGATAATTAATGGAGTCAGAAGAGGGAAAAGGAAGGACCACAGAGGCAAAGATTGGAGTAATGCAGCCACCAGTGAAGGAACACTGGCAGCCAGAAGAAGCTGGAAAAGGCAGCAGCAAAATCTCCCCAGGAGCCTCCAAAGGTAGTGCAGCTCTGTCAACACCTTAATTTTATCCCAATGATACCAATTTCAGACTTCTGGCCTTTAGAACTATAAAATAAATTTCTGTTTTCTTAAGCAGCCAAATTTTGATGATTTGTTATAGCAGCCACAGAAAACCAATACAATGTTCCCTAAGTAGCTCTTTGAAAACCAATACATACAAATTAAAAGAAAATTCTATTTCACTCTTAACTACAATTACTTGCTAATGGGATAGGTGTGCCTGCTGGGCCCTGTACAACATCTCAAACCTTGGAATCAAAGTGGACACTGCTAGTCTCATTTCCTGTCCACATTGACTTTCAGAGGATACTTGCTTTTTAAATGAGCTGCTGACAAAAACCCAGTTTCACAAATACACAGCATGCTTGAAAGGAGTGTAGCACAACGTGATGCGGAAACTGTGAACTACCTACTAGCTAGAAGCTCCCACAGTGTCTAACAGAAGTCAAGTATTGCTATGAATCCTTCACAAATTTAAAATACCCTCCTATACATACACAGTTAATCTGCTCTCGTTTCCTGGGGACACTCTTGTGCACCTTTTGAACCATGGTCCAAACTGGCTTTCCTTGCCCGGAAAATATATCAACACGGCAGGCACAAGGATCCTTTTAAAACATAAGTCAGATCCTGTCAGTCTTCTGCTCAAACCTTCCCATGGCTTCTCATTTCTCTCATGGTCAAAGCCAATGTCCTCACAATGGCTTATACAGCCCTACCTACATCAGGAATCAGCAAACATTTTCTGTAAAGAGCCACACAGTAAATATATTAGTCTTTGTGGGTGACATCCTCTCTGCCACACCTATTCCACTCTGCACTTATAGCATGAAACAGCCACTTAGCTATGTTTCAACAAAACTTTATTTACAAAAACAGGCTGCACTGGTTTGCTGATTCTTGCCCTACATGATCTACTGCTATGCTGCTCCCTTTCACTCACTCCACTCCCACCTTCCTGAGCCCCCTTCCTGTGTCTTGAATGCACCAGCAAGCTCCTGACTCAGGTCTTTTGCACTCGCTATTATTCCTTGCCTGGAATGTTCTTCTCACCTTCTTCAAGTCTTTTCTCAAATGGTACCTTCTCATTGAGGGTTTCCCTCACCACATTATTTGAAATTGTACTCACCTCCTTCCTCTTCTCACTATCCTCAATCTGATTCTCTTTACCAGGGCCTATTTCTCCCATAGTACTTTGAACCTTCTAATATACTAGATAAATTACTTCTTTCTTTATCATGAT